TGAATGCGGATGGATCCGAGTTCGGCGCGAGTACGTGCAGGGGACTTGGGAGCACTTGTCTCCGCTCGCCTACGGTATTGTCACGCGGGTGCGTTGTTGCTATCCGCAACCTGTAGGCCCTTACTGCCCCTTACGTGAAGAGTGCACCACGGTCATGAACCTGATGTTACTCTCTTACCCAAGCCCTATCCACGCGGCTTACCTACGTGTGACTGCTCCCGTGGCCGGACCTATGGCGCCGTGTACCTTAAACCAACAACCAACAATAATTTTGATAAATAAATATTCAAAAAATGTCGGGGTTAGACCACTCATGACAAACGACAATACACAAGATTAGTTAAATTATTTACCTCTCCAACAACGATAACTATAAAATGATAATAAGAAAATAACTACTGAACGAAAAGATGGTACGGCCCTAGTCCACGGGGACGAACCGTGCCTCAAAACCTGCGGGCATGAGGGTACAGCCCACCACGGGCATTGGGAACATCGTCCCCTCCGGCTATCCAGGAGGTTTGGATGCACCTCCGCTCCTAATGGTTACTTGGGATATTCGGCGGGCTGAGGTACATAGTGCGGCTCCATTGTGTGGCACGGCTCAGTGATGTTGAAGGAGAAATGCCGCTGTGACCAAAAGGAAAATGTCAAGGTAGGTAACAATATTTAATTAGAAAACAACTTGAACCGAAAACATGAAAAGTTAGACAGATGATCGATATAAAACTATGCACACGTGATACGAACGAGAAATCTACGAAATTAAACTTGGTTTATTCCGATATCATTTCTTTCGTTTATCACCCGTTCTATCATATAACGGCATATTTTCACTTGCTTTTTATCTCCATTTACCCTGAAAAAAGCGAGATCGCAAGTAAGTACAATTTCATTCCAATATTGCATTCCTGAAAGCGACCGCAAACCTTATCAGTCTTTTTCCATCTGGAAGACCCTCTTTCGGTTCCCCCCTCGTATAAACTTTGGCTTGGGTCTGGCTATAATAAGCGATTTATTTTATTGTCTTAGCTCCTGGACCCAGCACAAACCCAATAAGGTTGTCCGGCACCTAAATATAAATGAGCCCCTAATCATCCTCAATCATCCCTAATATAATACATTATGAAGAATATTACCTAAAGCATAGGCAGCCCAAATATCGTCTTACAAACCTAACCTCAAGATCAATTCCACTGTTCGTTTCACGTTCCACTATTACAGAGGCTGCGTAGTTATCACCCTTTGCTGAGGCTCCTGATTGACTTCGTAATACTTCTAGTAGCAGCGGATTCACAGGGGGAGGCTGGAAAGGTATCTCTTCCAGACCGACTCATTAAAACAAACTTGCGGAGCGAAAAACACTAAAATAAAACTCATTTTATGAGGAGGAAATTTCAACTAAAACAAGGCAGAAAGTGTCTCGCACAACTCTATATGCAAGTTGACCTACCTCGACTATACAGTTCGAATTCTGGAGAATGCATAGAATATGGTGGATAGCTTTGACTATATTTTCCTTTCTGCCCTTAACTTGGCAAATACGGTCCAGGTTTGCTGAAAACATTTTTGCGGCACTGATGACTATTCGAAGGTAGACCATGTCACAATAACGATTATTCAGTAGGGCGCAAGTGGCTCACAAAAGAATTTAGGCGTGAGGTTCAGTGCATTGCAATAGTCGACCACGGACTCGCACCATATTTGACGCGCGTTACCTGAAAAAGGGCACATCGCTTGGTTAAGTGGGAATCGGCCCGCAATAATGGGGGGTGCGTTTGGCCGCCAGGAGAGGGGGGGGGTCGTAGTGAGTGCGGCAGCCAGTAACGCAGCGCAAATTGTCAATGTGCTGAGTCCTGTACAACGAAACTTGCTTTGTAGAGAACTCGGATATGCAAAA